TGTGTGTGTGTGTGTGTGTGTGTGTGTTGTTACATAACACAGAGCCGGGACTTGACTGCAGAGAGAGGAGAACTTGTCAGGAGCTGGGATTTATCGTCACACTCTTTTTTTCATGTGCTAATTTTGCCCACATGTAACCTCACTCCTCTTCCCCCCTCTTATGGCCCCTGTAGTATGAACTAGATGGAATGAAAGTCATGGTACGCTGTGTTCCCAGGATTAAAAAGAGTGACTGTATTTTAATCCTGTTTAAAGGATCCTGTTTCAGCTGTGAAAACTTGCAGCTGCAGCTACAGGTCATGCATCATTCATTAACTCAGGCCACACACCCTAACAAGACAAACAGTCACACTGACCCAGTGCACATGTACGGTGTGTACACCTACTTTATTCCCCCGTGTGATTTTATGAGTTACATTCATTCCCTTAACAGTCCAAAACAAAAAGGAAACTCAGAACCCACTTGAAAACACACACACACACACACACACAGTTTCACTCTTCTCTACTTGTTTTTGTATAATGAGGAAACTTGATGTGACAGGCAAACGCCCTCAGGACAAACAGTAACATTGCAAAAATGACAAAGACTGGAGAGTTATTGTCTCTTTTAATGACTAAGTAGCTTCAGGGAGTTGATTGGTTGCTTGGTTTATTGTGTATGGGGCGTTTGAGGTCATGGTAATTTAGCCAGCTCGGTGTTAGTGCGGGTGATTTGTAATGTTAGAGGTGAAAAACATCAACAAGCAACATTTTTTCCTTGACAGAGTGTCTGTGATGTAAAAATACATCACAGACAATTTTCAGTGAATTTTATAAAAGGTGAAATAAACGTCCCAGTTGCTCAGAGTTCCTGTTCTATCCAGCCTGAAGGTCAAAAACAATTTACTCTTCAGTATATCTGTGCATCCTTTTTTGACTTAATTTACTTCTCCTCTTCACAGGTACAATGCCATCACAGGGGAATGGGCTCAAGACCAGATCCACATCAAGATGGCCACTCAGGTACGACTTTTCCTTTTGAAAAAATTCTGTAAAGCCGATATTTCAAACTCTCTGGTCTGATTTATAAGTCTTGTTTTCTTGCAGCCGTTTGGGAAAGGGGCGATGAGGGAGTGCTTCAGAACGTAAGTCCAACTCGTCAGTTCTCATCCAGCGGTTATTGCCCTCGTGTTAGAGGCGGTCATGATCTCAGTGTAAGCAAAGCAGAGGAGTGTGGAGCTCTTAGATTGTGGCCTACAAGTGGTGCAGGTCCACATTCCTCGCATTTCAGCCGCTGAAGGACTCCACAGTTTCTGAACCCGAGATGAAACAGAGACCATCACATTGAAGCGGCTCATAAACTCGTCCATGATGGCAGGAGGGCTTTACTTTAAACTTTGTAAAAATGTCTGGCTTCTTTGTGAGGTTGCAGAACAAATGAGAAAAGGAATAATATAGTAACTGTCAATGTTTAATCCTCAGTTGTGTGGGAAATGCAAAAGAGAGGCATCCGTCAACGTCTCCCTCATTTCAGCTGTCGGAAAAATCCGAAAAAAAAGTTAGGTCCTTAAAAAAATAAATCTCCACATGTGAAACGTGGTATGTTTTCCCTGATGGATTTGAACATGTGCGTTTGGAGCTGTTTTTATCTGGGGTCACGTTGGGCAGATCTGATTTTAGATCCAGTTGATTCTAGGGTCAAAAATGGCTTTAGATGTGTACTTGAATAAAATATTCTATCCCTTTGTGCATTTCAGCCTCCTGATGCGAATAAATAAAGGGTTGATTCAAATGTTGCTCTCTACTGTGAAATCTAACTCTTATATCCTTTCCCTCCAGGAAAAAGTTGTCTAATTTCTCACATAGCAGCAACTGGAAGTCGGCATCGAACTACGTAGCCAAGAGTTACATGGAGACGGTGGACAGAAAGGTTTACTTTGAGGACGTCAGGCTGCAGATGGAGGCTAAACTCTGGGGGGAGGAGTACAACCGACACCGACCTCCCAAACAGGTGCAGGACAAACGCTGACTTGTTCATGGGACCAGACAATGTGGATAAAATCAGCCCCGATCCTCTGAAAGCATCCAGAGCACATGGCTGCACAATCCTTTATCCTTCTTCATTTGAAAACAGAAAATACTTTAATCTTAGATTTAGGTTTGCAACAGATGATTATGGATTATTTTTGTTGCATAGTTTATTGTTTGGTCGACATAGTGTCACCAGACACTGCACAGCCTCAACACATGATATTGTCGTGTAAATTACCTCCGTTTTGTTTTATTTGCCAGATGCAACCATTGGTCTTGCAGCCGTTGATTTGAAAGACCATGTGTGAGTGAGTGACGGTTGTTCATCTCTTTGTAAACCTCAGGTGGACATAATGCAGATGTGTGTGGTGGAGTTGAAAGACAGACCAGGCAAACCTATCTTCCACCTGGAACACTACATTGAGGGCAAATACATCAAATATAACTCCAACTCTGGCTTCGTGAGGGACGACAACATCAGACTCACCCCGCAGGTGAGTGACGTCACCCTCACATCTTGATACAAAGAATAATACTCACAATCACTTAATCTCGATCATTCGTTTCCTCGTGTATCCACCAGGCTTTTAGTCACTTCACCTTCGAGCGTTCGGGACACCAGCTGATCGTGGTGGACATCCAGGGTGTCGGAGATCTCTACACTGACCCTCAGATTCACACCGAGAAGGGGACTGACTTTGGAGATGGAAATCTAGGTTTGTTTCTATCAGTTTCTCTGATATCCGAACAAATAAATACGCTTTTTGACAGATGCTGAAAGAGATATCACATCTTGATCATATACCTGTGTTTAAGGTGTGCGAGGCATGGCTCTGTTCTTCCACTCCCACCTGTGTAACAAGATCTGCAAGAGCATGGGCCTGATGCCCTTTGACCTCTCACCTGCAGAGAAGTCTCAGCTGGACTGTACCAACAAACTGCTCGTAAGACAGACAGGGCCAGAAGTCAGCATTACATCAGGATAGATAACAGAAACATATCCGTACAACAGTAGCAATAACAAGGAAAATATGAGGACATTTTTATGTATTTGTTAAATTATTAGAAGAACTACTTTGCGTTATCTTCAGTATCATCGGCCTGTTTCGCCTCCTACTTCTTCAATCTCCCCAAGAGCAGTTTCATCTTGTTTTATTCCAGAAGTCAGCCCAGACGGTGCTGAGAGGCTGTGAGGAGCCTTGCGGTTCCCCTCGTGTTCGTTCCATGTCAGGACCTCAGTTGTTGTCCCGCCTCTCTGAGACGTCATCTGCAGACGAGAGCATGAGTGACGTGGACTCGATCCCCTGCTCGCCTCTCATCTTCTCGTCTTCGCTAGCTGCATCTGGATCAATGGGCAAGTCGCCTGTTGGTATGGGCATGAATTCATTAATACCTAATGTACATTTATTTCAGAATGTTTAATTTAGTGAAGAGAGGTGTTCACACTGTAAATATGGATATCTCTCTATTCTAACAGGTTTATATTTTACTGGAATGAATGAACATGAAAGATTTGGTAACAACAACAACAACACAGGTGAACATAAGGTGAGTAACATAACATAAGGTGAATGGGACATTGGCACCATGTGCACAATAACTTACCCCACGCTACAGGTAGGCAGCTTTGAGCTGCACTCACTCGAGTCACTGAACCGACTTTATTGTTTTTATTTTCTTCGTCTATAGGAATCTGATAGCGGCGGTGACAGCGGATACCCCAGCGAGAGGAGGAGTGAAGGCGATCCAAGTGACCATGTAGACGGGGTAAAGACTTTCATTTGACCTCACCGTGTTTTTACTGGACCAGTCAGAGCATTGCAGGACAGTTCGGCAGGATATTTTTTAGTAATGGAATCTCTTATTTTATTGCCACAAACCGCTCATACATCCTCTTTTCAGTTGACAAAGACATACATGTGTTATCAAGTTAACATAGTAAGTCAGAAAGTATTTTGTAGATATGGTAAAGATGGTTTAGATGGGGATTAAAACTCGTTTGACTAATTCATTGCATTGAGGAATGATGCTGATGTATCCGTTTTGACACTTATTTACATGTAGAACTCTTCTTGTTGCTGTACATAGTTCAGTCTTCTTTGTCCTTCTGTCGTCTGAGCAGCTGTTAACATTTTCTTCTTGTCCACATTAAGTTCAGATAACTGTATTCTGACAGTAGCCTCTGTAATGCATGTTGTATCATCACGTAGGCCCATCATCGATACCAACGACATTTTTCCGAGTCAGACGACGACAGTGTCAGACGGGTAAACAAATGCAGAGACATCAGTGTGTAAAACCTCCTCCCCGCCTCAATCATAAACCTGCAATTTTCCTCATCCTTTTCTCACTTTGCCATCCCACCTTTCTTCCCTCTTCGCTTCTTTTTTAATGATTAAATTCATTCCTCATCTTCCCTCTAATCGACCTCCTGCTCTGTGTCCTCCCTCGCCAGCGGAAGGTGGTAGCTCCTCCAAGAGTCACCGCAAACCTAAATTCATTCAACCCTGACAACGAATGGGTGATTACTTGCATGGAGGATGGAAAGCTCGGGCGTTTCCTCGTGCAACTCTGTGCGTTGTTATTGCTTTCATGCGCTATCTTTGCCAAAAACTTGTCAAGCGTGATAATGAAAATTCAAAATGTTCACTCACTCCTTAGTCGATTTAATGAACAAAACACAAGAAGCAAAATGGAGAGAAATTAAAAATGAAATTCGGAACCAAAACACCATCTACCTCTGTTTCAGCAGCTTTGCTCATGATTCACATCATAATAACTTTGTGTGTGTGTGTGTGTCTTTTCTCATGCTTCACATGATTTTTGCATTTGCTGATTGAAAGGCCTGCAGGGGTGCACTCCTCCAGCTCTGAGCAAAAAACTGATCTATGACATCTAGTATTGAAGCAGACTTTTCTGGATGGGTACACCCCTGAGAGTGGAGTGTGATTTGTATGTTTGTTTTGCACATAATCTACCTGGCATCGTATAATTTGTTTTCGGATTACTGTGGTGAAGAACAGATGGTTACACTTTCCCTTTTCTCTCCTTCTCGTATCACTGCTGTGTGTTTCTGCCCAGCTGACCGAGGAGAAGTGGAGCTTCTACCATTCTTCTCGTGCTCACGTCCACCGACCGTCATGCGTAGCCACTGAGGTGGAGCGACTCAACACTCTGATGCAGAAAAAGATTGGCCAGTCAATTCTTGGAAAGGTGAGAAATAAAACATCACATTGGATGATTTTTGATTTTAATAAAGATGACACATACGAGCAGGATTACATATCCAACATTAACAGATGGCAAAATAGGAGGATACAGTAACTGCTTCATCCCCCAGAAAAAGGTTTTATGTGTTGAGTATATTCTAGATCTCCTTCCTCCTGCACAGGTCCACCTGGGCATGGTGCGGTACCATGAAGCCGGTCGCTTCTGTGAGAAGGACGAGCAGTGGGATCAGGACTCGGCCATGTTCCACCTGGAGAGAGCCGCCCTGTGTGGAGAGCTGGAGGCCATCATTGCCCTGGGCCTGTGCTATCTGCAGCTGCCTCATCATATACTGCCAGACATGGAGCTGGAGGTACGATTCTGCTGCTGATTTGACTGTGGCTTTGTGTGCACCCGTGTATTCTGACATTCTTGTGCTGTTGGCAGGATAACGCAGGAAACAGGATGAAAGGTTTCAAGTATCTGCTGCAGGCGGCTGAGGCTGGTGACAGATCCGCAATGATTATTGTGGCCAGAGCCTTTGACACAGGAGTCAATCTGTCCGCTGACAGGTCAGTGAAGCTTCTTTTCAGAAGATACAGTTTGAGTTAGAAAGATGAGGAGTCCATGTCCTACAGTCGTGATTATACTGCCCCCTGGTTGGATTTTTTTAGGACAAGGTAAAATTAAGGCTGAAAGATTTTAGATGTTTGTTTTGTTTAATTTCTTACATTTACTCTCTAAATTTCAGAAAGCAGGATTGGGCAGAAGCGATTCACTGGTATGACAGCGCATTAAACATGATGGACTGTGACGAGGGGGGAGAGTTCGATGGGACGCAGGATGAGCCTCGCTACCTGCTGCTGGCCAGAGAGGGAGAGATGTACCAAGAAGGAGGCAACAACCTCACCGCAGACCCACAGAGAGCAGGTTCGACAGACCTCACTGTGTTCATATATAGAGCCTTTACCCTTATGTTTAAAGGAATATTATACTGAAATCCATATTTAACAGTTTAGACCACTCGCCCCATGTTGTCTTGAAATGAGGCTCTGAACAATTTGTAACTTTCTCAGATACGTAGACAGCATGGGAATGAAGTCATTGTTGGTTTTAGTCTGTTTAAGAGATTTGTTAACAACAGGAAAAATATAGATTATCACCATCCTCGTTGTAATTGTATTTGTTAAGTGTTTCTTCTGTGTACCTCAAGGAAAACCATTATCCGAAGCAAATATTATCACTGCTTCTGTCCTCTCCTCTCACACCATCATCTCTCCCTGCAGGTGATCTGTTTACAGAAGCAGCAGAAGCTGCCATGGCGGCCATGAAAGGCAGGTTGGCGAACCAGTATTACATGAAAGCTGAAGAGGCCTGGGCGCTGATGGAGGAGGAGTAATTCGGGATACAAGCTCCCATCACGAGAAATGCTACAGGAGATCCTGTGTCTGACAGACAGCTAGTCTGATTTTTACACATTCAAGACACAACTTGGATGGTTGCAGTTTACATATTTTGTATTACAGAGTAGTGAATGGATTTTTTCTATTGATGCCTTAGGTGTATGTGTCTTCCAGGATCAGGCTCGTATATCCAGTTTCCTGTCCTTCCTTCTCTCTGTTTGTGAAGTTAGTCATTCTGATTCCTGTTTTCTCTCATTTCCTGTGTCTGGTTTCCTCTGGCTTCTTACTGTTGTATGAAAGAGAAAAACTGAAGAATTTAAACATAGGAAATGGTTTACTTTGGCTGCCCCAGATGCTAATGAATGCTTGGATGAATGTACGTAAAATAGTTTGCAAAAATAAAGTTTGCATTGCTTTTTACAATGAAAATGTGTCATACTTGATTCTCGTGCAGCTTGGTGGCATTTAATGTACAGTATTACAGAAATGCTCCAACTCTGCTCCAGTGATATGTTTGCAGAGCAAGTGAAACTCAAGTAATTCCAGTGTAACAGTAAACATAATTTTGCAGTATAAATAAAATATATATTTTTGATGATATAAAGCTGAAAAGCAAAAATCACCCGTGTAAATCATTGTTTTTTAATATGTTTGGTGAAAAAAAACAACTTCATCAATTTGATGACACATGCTGCAAACATTCACAACACGTGCTTTATGAAGTCACGTTGAGCTCTCTCAGCCACCGTAATATTCTGTCTACGTGAACACAAATCCAAATGACAAAGTGGGCTTTAATAGAGGCGTGCTCATCGGCAAACGAGACACAAGATCGCAACAAAACATATAGACACAACAAGTACAAAACAAAAAGTTTACAAATATGGAGCCAAGTATTATAAGTTGATATCCTGGTGACTTCGAACAGGTAGCGTGGCCGAGCGGTCTAAGGCGCTGGATTAAGGCTCCAGTCTCTTCGGGGGCGTGGGTTCGAATCCCACCGCTGCCATCCCATTTTTTCCTTCACCGTGACTTAGATTTAATTTTGTGTATGAACATAAATGATTTAAGTATAAACGTATAAATACATAAATCAGGAAATATATGTTCATAATCAGTGATCAGCCTCTTCATGATCAGAGCAGAAGCTGCAGTTGGTTTGTATTGAGCTGGAGTTTCTGCGTCCTCCTCCTCCCTGAGCTGCTCCACTATAACTAACTAACACCATCACTAGTTCATTCTGTGTCCTCCTCCTCTCTGAGCTGCTCCACTATAACTAACTAACACCATCACTAGTTCATTTTGCGTCCTCCTCCTCTCTGAGCTGCTCCACTATAACTAACTAACACCATCACTAGTTATCATCAGTGATCAGTATATGAAGTAACTCAGTGTTTGTTTGGTTCCAGAGTTTATGAGACTCATTTAAACATCAGCCCAATAAATAAACTTTTAACTGTGAACTGACACAACTATACAGTCTATGGTACTGACAGGCAGAAGCAGTAGAACTGGATCATCACACTCCTGTGACCAATCCTGCATGAGACTGAGGTTAGGACCACCTTTCTCATTAGCATACGGACACAGAAATACAGAAATAAATAAATGTGGAAATAAATGTAAGACATGTATTTATTTATTTACTAATTTATTTATGCATGTATGTATGTATGTATACATTTATTTATTTATACTTAAGTCATATCTGGTCCTCCATAATGTAGCAGACCACTGCACTGTGGAGTCGCTGTGCATCATGGGCCTCGGCTCCTCCCCACGTGTCTGCGTGTGGAGCTCAGTCAAACATGGTACAGACTCCAGCAGCTCGCCTCCTCTGCCCGTGCTAGACCCCCCACAAGCTGCTGCCCTCACACGGATGAGATAGCCGCTCCTCCACGGTGAAGCGAGCAGGTGAGGTGTTGCCAGTTCATGAGGACTCACCGGTTAAACCAGACCCGGGCACGGGGCTGTCTGTTATTTCCACCAGCTAGTCTGTGCTAATGCACGGTTAAAGTTAGCTAGCCTAGTTTGTAGCCTGTTAGCTAGCTTCATTCGCCGCACGTCTGTTTACCGTAAGTGTTGTCGCTGTCTGTCCTGCTTTCTTTTACACACGCACGTGGTTTTAAAAAAAATCTTTTGTGCAGAAATGTGAATTTAAGCCGCAGTGTAGCGCCCGGGCCCTCGACAAGTGGCTGGAGGGTTTGATGCTAGCATGCTAATGAAGCCAAGTTAGCCAGAATCAACTGCTTCTCTTTAGGAATAATGGCGTGTAATAACTCTAATGGAGTCTGGTTTGGAGTCTGGAGCTTTCACACCGTTTATTAGGAAGTGTTTACATGAGGAGCAGCTGTTCTATGAGGATTTACATCGTGTTGCATCATGTGAGTTGTACCTGGCTGTCAGTGGTGGCACCTCCTGACAGGCTGCATGACTCTGGTCTTTCTTGTCAGCGCATTGTAGTAATTTACTTATTCACTCTCTGCAAAGGGTTTATTTTAAAATAACCATTTTACTTCAAGATCTTCCTGAAGGCTGACATCCTGAAACTCCCTATAAATCTGAGCAAGTCTGATGTGACTTTGCAGCATCACTTTGTTCTTGTTACCAGTACAGCTGCTTTTCACCTGTTTCCTTTGTTTCCATCCACTGTGTTCATGCGTGTGTAGAATAAATCCTCATTATTAAACATTTTGTCTATTTCCAGGTTGGATGTTGTAAATCTGCTGCCGCTCCCCTCCTCTTTCATCTCCTCCTCTCCCCTCCTCGCTCTGCTCGCGTCAATATGGCCAGCGGGGATGATGATGACCCCATTATAGAAGAGGTATGTCTACAGGCTGAGGATAAAGCTGATGACATATTCTAATCCACATTGAGTTTGTTCTGCTAATAAATGCAGGCCTTGTACCTGAAGTTTGACAAAGCTTACTGTTTCCCACCATCGTCGTCCACAAACACAATATTTCACTGGATGTTCATCATTAACACAAATACAAAGTATTATTACACAATATTATTTCTTTATTTTTGTCTGTCAGTGCTGCAGCAAAATAAACCATGTTAAACCAGTCTATGAGGATCTAACTTTAACTGGTTGAAACATAAAATCATTGAAGAGCAACTTTAATCCACGGACTGCGATGCTTTGTCATAAAAGCTCCTCACATCAGTCAGAGAATAACTTTGAACCTTTCTGTTTCTCTTAGATTGATGTGTATCTCGCCAAAAGCCTCGCAGACAAGCTGTATCTTTTGCAGGTTAGTCTCTTTGTTGCTGTTAATGCTTATGAGTGCGACTCCCTTAATCTTGACTCTTCTTATCTATACTGTGATTGAATAATTATGTCATGATTTACTGATCACCTTCATTGTTTTCTGACACAGTACCCTGTCCGACCATCCACCATGACTTATGACGATGTTAACCACTTGATGGCTAAGATCAAACCCAAGCAGCAAAGGGTACAAGAGGCTCTTTTCTTACTTTACATGTCATCAGTGTAGGAAAATCTTTATTCATCTGAAAGTGGCTGTAACGTGTTTGTTAATCACTGTACAGGTGGAGTTGGAAATGGCCATCAACACAATGAGTCCAAACTACTGTCGGAGCAAGGGAGAACAAATAGCTCTGAACGTGGATGGCACAACTTTCGATGAAACCAACACGTATTCAGTGTAGGTCTATTGTTAAACCTGTAGTTAACTCTGTGTGTTGGCTGCTTGTGTTCAGGAATAGTTTGACATCTATAGAGATGGATGAACTTCCCCCCACACCTTCAAATGAATGATCAAATTTTGATGAACAATTTACAGCCCTACAATCGATTTATATTTACTATTCGGACATGAGAGCGATACAGTTGTCACATCTGGTCCTCAACTAGAAAACATCAGTGAAATTTCCGAAACATACAACTTTTCCCTCAAACATCTTTACACTGGCAGTATTTCATTGAAGTGAAGTTTCGATTGACTTTTCTTTAGACGTGAAGCTGAATAATTAATTGGTGTACTCTTTAATCTCCAGGAAAATGATGGACAAACAGACCTTCTCGTCCATCCAAGCCACCACCAACACCTCCCGATACGCTGCTGCCGTGTTTCGCAAAGGTCTGATCTAATAACCAGTGTTTCTGTAGCGCTGTGCGTGTGTTTTGCTTGGTCTGACCTCAGTGCTGCGTCTTGTAAATACACAAAGGTCACTCATGTTCACAGAGTCCATGTGAACCGTTCTCACTGTTACCTTTCTTATCTTCACGTGCTAAGTTGCTCTACACATGTCTGTTGTGTGTTTAGGTTCAAGATAACGAAATGTGTCAACACTTCCTGACTCATTAACATGAGAACAAAATCAGTCACATTATTACAGATCAATACCAGGATGTGGTTTGTGACTATTTTATTGTTTATGTCATTAGGTGAGCTTCACATCACACCTCTGACAGGAATCCTCCAGATGAGACCCAGCTTCTCTTACCTGGACAAGGCTGATAACAAAACCAGGGAGAGGGAGGCAGCCAATGAAGGTGTGAATCTTTTCTCCAAAATCGTATTATTATGTGAGATCAGTGTAGATTTTTGCTTGTAACAATATTCAAGATTGTATTTTATGTTTTTAAAACTGTGATTAATTAACTCTCTTGTCCTATTTTAAATAAATCAAAATACACAACAGAAATCAATATAAAAATATACAATATCCAACTATTGACAGAGCTGATTAATCTGCAGCTATTTTAAAGCAAAAATATTTTTTTCTGTGTCCAGATTCTCAAACCTGAGTCGTTTACTTTTTTTGAATCTAAATATATTTTTGGTTTTGGACTAGTTCACTAAAATCAAAACATTTAAATAGATCACAACGTACGCTGGAAGAATTGAATAGACATTTTCACTGTTTTATGACATTTTATAGACAAAATTAATTAATTAGCAGATTCATGATCTACAGTTCCAATCTGAATCCCTACAATACATCTTACAATTTGTGTTTTGGCTTGTTGATCTGTTTTTTGTTTTATAACTTTTTTTACTAGATTTTTTTAGAAGAAAACGAGTTCTGAGCTTAAATCTTTCATCAGTTTTGAAAATGATCTTAGTACCTTGCGTTACCAGATTAAAGTCGGACACGACTGTTTTCTGTCTGCAGGTGGAGACTCCTCCCAGGATGAAGCTGAGGAAGACGTCAAGGCCATCACGGTGAGAACTTGTGCACACACGTCAACACACAATCACTCACACTTTATGTGCCCACGAATGGCCACAATTTCTGAGTTTTCATGCACGCGTTCCACTCCAGGTGAGGTTTGCTCGCCCTGAGTCAGAGCAGGCACGTCAGAGGAGGATCCAGTCCTACGAGTTCCTTCAGAAGAAGCAGGCAGAGGAGCCCTGGGTTCACCTGCACTACCATGGTGTCAAGGTAGGGGATGC